CTGTGGCTTGGAGGATGTGCTATAAATGCTAATCTGGTGATACCTTTCTGAATTTCCCACACACACTTTGTGTTCCCCTGGAAGATACAGCATCCTTTGCTTTCCTTTTCCTGGTAGGCGAGAAGCCTTTCAAATGTGAGGTCTGCTCTTGTGCCTCTATAGTGGCACTTGCAAACACATGCTAGTGAGACACCATGTGAATGTTGACTTCGTTCATATAGTTGGTAACTGTAAACAATCCCTCTGTCAGACAAATTCTGTACATATGTTGGCTTTGAAAAAACAACAACAAACCCCCACACTTTAAGTTAGGCACTCCTACCAAAGTCAAGCATTTACATTTACATATATTCGTGTTGGGACCTTGGCTCTATGAAGACTTTTTTGTTTAAGGGAATTGCTTTCTGTCCCCTATTTACAGCTCTTTCTGTATTTAACTACCACATAGACTGTGCTGCAAGATGTATGGAACACTAACAGGGTAAATACAAAAATATCCAGTAGAAGGTGACGGTACCTGTGCCTGTGTGTGAAAGGGTACTCAGACAAGTGGTAATGACTTATGTAAAAAACTCAAAAATGTGTTCATTCACTAACTTTGTCTTATTTGGTGTTTTAGGTGCACCACATTGCTTTTTCACTCTAATTTTGTCTGCAGCTTTGTTTGTAGTGTTTTGATTCCACCCTCCCACAGATTGAGGAAATGATCACATTTTTGATAGTGCTGGCACATCTCATTTTGCAGTGGTAGCAGAGTGTGTCATGTGATAAGTGGGAGCATGAGCTGGTCTTAGTAAAACCAAAGTACATGTTGAAAGTATGTGCTTAGCAACCTTTAAATGTTAAATTTGTGTGTGTGTAAACTCTTTACACTAAATAATGTACTCTTTGCTTTGTTTATTTTTTTTGTTTTAAAGCTAAAAGGTTTAAACTAAGATAAGCTAATGTCCACGAGTCATTTCTTGAGGTGTGCAGTGGTTGGTGGAAAGACAACTTGATTAGTTTTGGTTTGTTACTTGTGTAACAAAAAAACAAACAAACAAACAAACAAACAAACAAAAAGATAGTTTACTCTGGTTCTTTAGCTCTTATAATAAAGGTAATTCTGATTACCCAGCCAGTGCTCCTTTTGGAGAGCCTTTTGATGCCAGAATTAAAAACTGGAAATGCATCTATCAAAAGTGATAAAATACCTTGAGCTTAAAGTAAGTTCTCTCTTCACCAAGAGGTGTTCAGTATCTGGTAATAGAATAACAGGAAAAAAAGGCTTTTTCCTAGTTTTTGCGGCAGCTGTGTAAAAATGCAGAATTGTAAACATTATCCAAATGTTGTAACAAAAAATGAAGGAAATTCCTGTAATGAAATGGTCACTTACTTGTCACACTTGGCCTTGTTGCAATGATTTGTTTAGTTATTGGATACAACTAAGCATGGCAGGGAGCTGTCATTAAGTCCTGTACTACTAAGCATCCTTTTTTGAGACAAATCATTCTGTAATACCTGCCATGATATTTCGTCTCTTTTTGCAGTGTTACTTTAAAAGCATATACTTTTTCATTTACTTGTAATAAGCCCTACTTACAGGAACCAATGATTTTGTTTCTTTCAAATTGTCAATATGCCTCCTTCCACCAACCTACTTTGCCCTGTTATATACATGTTAGCCATCATATTATAAACACTTGCATGCTTAACTTTTGCTGTAAAACTGGTTCCATTTGAAATTAATAGAATTCTTCTTTAATAAATTTAAAACATTATATAAATTTAAAACATTATATGATGAGAGTCTATGGGATCAGGAAGTGAATGTTTTAGCCAGTGTCTGTAAGAGTAAATGATAACACCATCTGAAAGTACTCTTTCATTGTGTGCTGGTTTAAGAGTTAACCAGCAGGGGAAATGAACTCAACTCAAAGGAGAGATTATAAGTCAGAATAACAATTTACTAAAATAATACAGTAAGTACAATCATACAAACAAACAATTGGTCTTAACCCACAAAACCCAAATGTATAACCCAGTACCCTGGGGCATGAACAAAGTGGTGTTCCTTGGGCCCCGCTTGAGTCCAAAGTAAAGGGAGAGGGAAAGAACCTGCTGGTGGGAGAGCTGTTGCAGTCTGGTCAAAAGTGGTGATTGGAGTCCAGTATAGGGTGGTGGTCCAAGTCTGTTTGAGAGCGATGAGCCGCAGTCCTTCTCTGGATCCCACAGAGTGGTTAAAAATGTTCCAAGACTCCAAGATTATATATCCTGCAGTTCAGGCAGAAATGCTCAGCACTTCCCTCAGGGCGGGGAGTTCCACAAAGGGTGTGAGGACAGGAGCATCCTCCTATCTCACAGGCCTCTTAACACCTAGTTTATAGCCTGAGGAGTCAGGCTCTATGGGCAGAGGGTGTAAATGGTTAATTGATAACAGTTTCTGGGAAATGGCATGGAAGGCTATAGAATACACAGTTTTGGGTTACACCCATACCCTGATGAACTGGTCTCAGTTGTCCTAACTAGGACACATTGTATGTGAAATCTACACTTAAAAAATATTTAGTTCATTTCTGCGTAGTGTTCCAGACCTAAATAGTTTGGATGTTTGAAATTGCCACTTATGAAACAATTTGCCCGAATTGGGTAAATACAGTTAGGGTTGTTTTGGTTTTGTTTTTTCTTAAGTAATTTATTTTGGGTCTGTAATAGTCCTAAGATTTTTAAGGACAATAGAATGTAGCACTCTCTATTTCAGAAATTGTATCAAAAATACAATGAAGTGTAGGAATAATAAATAAAAAAGAAAGAAAGAAAAAAACCTAAACAAACCCAACCTAGCCCCCAAGCATATTCTTTACACCACCACAGAACCCACTGGCTGATTCAGTGTGCTGTATTCAACAGGAAGGTATAAAGGGTGTGAATGTAAGCAAGACTAAGGATGGTATAACTGCAGTGGTGAAATATACAGAGCAGTGTGGTCTCTAAATCTTTACTGTATTTTGATATAGTTCCTGAATAAATATAAATTGCTTACTGATACTCAGTTACAAAAGAATGTATCTCTACATGTATTGACATGTGTATATATATGTACGTTTGCAACTGGGCTGTTCACAACAGTTAGTCTTTAATGCTTTTGTCTTATCAAGAGGTTAGAGCTATGTAGAAGAGGAGACGTAAATTTGCTTGAGATATTTCCTATAGTGACTTGGAAAAGGCAGATGACTGCTTCTGATGGCACAGAATCCGACGGGTTCACATTTTTTGTAGTCTTGCTGTCAAAGACTGCAAGAAGATTTCATGGAAATTGTGCAATCCTGATGATAGTAGAGATAGGGAGGGTTCTGTGCTGCTTTAAGAATAATTTATGGGGAAATGTTTCATCCTTTGTATAAATCTTAGCTTGAAAATGCATATTTTTCTATGCTAGGTCAACCAGTTAAATTTCTTGTTAGGTGTGAGGGAAAAGGAGTGTTAAGGTATGCTTTTCTCTTAAGTTAAGCATACTTCAGGGTGCCTCAGGTCTTTTGCTTGGTGCATTCCTGTAATAACACCACCACCAAACACCACTACCCCAAATATAGAAAACCCATAAATATTGGCATCACCAACCATGAAGTTTTTAAACTGGTATGGTGTATACATTGCTAAGTCTAAAATTTAGTTTTAGCCAACTTAATTGTTTAATCTGACCTCTCTGTAGATTCCATTCTGTATTCAATGGAGAATGATGGGTATTCCTACAAGACGTCTTAATTTCATATGAGATATTGTTTAAATGTGTGGGCTAATTCACCTATTAGGATTTCTTACTGCCTGCCTACAGTTAACTTTACAGAGGAAATGTAGAAGATAATACATCTGTTGACAATGTGGGTTGAATCCTCCTGTAGATAAATTGTTTTAATATCTTACCTGATAGGTCTGCAGATAGTTGCTGTCAAAATAAATAGATACTCAATATTTGTTTGAGAGAAACCCAAAATTCAGAGAAGCTTATGTCATAAGTTGGTAAGTTTTGGAGTCTCATGTTAGGTAAATGCTGAGATTAACCCAAAAGTCTGAGTCTGGGTTCTCTTGTAGCCTGTGTACAGCTGTATTCTTGGTTGATCTTGCATGAGGGAAGTGTCAGAACCCAAAGGTTTAGATTTTAGATTTGGTGTTTCCTGAATCTGGTAGAACTGAGGTTTTGATTAGTATCAGATGATAATTCCACTGTCTCAGGGCACAATTTTGACCAATAGTAAGTATATGGCAGACTTCACATTTTAATATAGAATGAATCCTGGACAGTATTTGTCAAGGATTAACTTGTTATGGTTAAGTTCTTTAGTTTGAGGTATGTCCCTCAGTCATAGTGCAGAATAGGTAGAATAAATGCCAAATGCAAGTTCAGAACTTTTCAGTATATTCCTACCAGTTCGCAGCTTTCAGTACGTTGAGCTAGAATTAATATGCACATGCAAATATGTGCATCTCTGGTGTATGTGGTTGCATGCTGGTGCAATTGTATTCAAAGTGCATATAAGTCCTGTTAAGACTAAAAAGTAAATTGGGACACTTTTTTTTGTAGGAGTTTAGATCTTTTGTTGCCTGTATAGAGGTTTTATTTTCAAAGAATAGATATATCCAGAAGAATATCCACAGCTGCACAACTGACACTGAAATAGAAATACTGCTGAAAACATGGTGGAAACTCCACTAACTTACTCCAGTGGTAGGGGAACAATGGTGGAAGGTGTCACTTGCTTGTGTAAAAGGAGAGGTATTTTAGGTCTAGAACCCCTCACTTGTGAATACAGCTAGCTATAACTAAAATCAAACAGGAGAGCTGTGTTCTGGTCTAGCTCTGCTACTGGACAGGGCCATGAGACCTTGAGAAAGATGACCTACTGTTTGGCTGTTTTGGATTTGTGAACACTACAGCTAGAGACTGACTGCTTGTGCTTGTGTGGTGCTCATTCACTGCTACTGATGGTAGTAATGATAGATACATTTCTGTTTTATTACAGCATTCAGAAGAAGAGCTTGGACCTTCACATACACTGACCTCACACTGGTGAGGTATTTGGCTGTAGTTTTTGCTGCTCTTCTTTCCCTGGCAAACAACTTCTCTGAAAACATATTAGGAAATATTCCTGGGTTCAGGAACCTCATTAACCACTTCCCAGCCCATCTTTACCTTCAAATTACTCCTTGTGGAACATTAGGTTCTTCATGCTTAAACTTCCACCTGAGCATCCCAGCAAATAAAGAAGCTGTTGGCATGGTCAGGCTTTTGTGCTGAAAGCCAAGGATTATCTGGAAGAAGAGAAGAAATGGCCTTTATGTGGCAATTAAAAGTACTTAGTATGGTCTTTCCCAAGTACTTTGTGTGCGGTATGGTACAGGTGCTAACTTCAGTGTGCTGAGAGTATCATGGAGATTTATCTTGCACAAAGGTTGGACATGTTGATTTTTGGTCTGGTTACCTCTTGCTCATACATTCTGCTTACTTACTGATGAAGAGTTTGACATTTCAAGACAGAATCTGTTGAAAAGCGTCAAAGCTGACAGTGAACCCTACAGGTGGTTTGTGTATTACATCTTTCATTTTTAATACAGTCTGTATAAAACAGTAAATGATTCAAGAAAATCTACTGATGCTGTGGCATTCAATGTGGTAAAAAATATTAACTAAATTTCTTCCTGGTTACTTTTTATAACAAAATGTGTCTATTATCATATTATTATTCTTCAGTGTTGAAGTAAAAATAGAAACTATTTTTACTATAGAAATATGACATCAAATAAACGTGACTTGAAAATTCAGTGGTTAAGTACATCTGAACCTTATTTACCCAAATAGAAATTGCTCACTTTAAAATGGTTTTACTCCAAGACTCCACATTTATTATTTGCCTGTGATGGTTTAAAAAACCCGTGGGGATAAAGAACCTAGTATCTCAACTTTCTACCAGACAGAATCACTGTTCTCTTACACACAATTGTAAAGAACATACTACTGCAACAGGATAAAACTTTCCCTTCAGGTAAGTTGTAGATTTCTTGATTTACAGGAAAATGTTAGTAAGAGAGTTATGTGGAGAGAAGCTACTGGAAATTTATAGGTAGAACCTTTATTAAAGAATTAAAGAGAAACTTTTTTCAGAGAAGAAAATTCTTATATTTTTAGAAACTGATGAGCAGAACAAACCTCATCTTCCTCTACATTTGGTACAGAAAAGGTCGGAGATGCATACAAAATATAAACACTTTGTCCCTCTCCATCTGGAAGCATAATAGTTGGACATTTGCAACTGAGCACATACGTTATTACTAATGAGAAATATTTCTTTCCTTAAAATACTGCAATGTAAATTGCATTAACTTGTTTGCACAGCAATCTGATGGTTCTTTAACTTGAAATTGCTTCAGTGGCAAGTACTCATTTATGACAAGAGCAGTACTTTATTCTGAAGGATTCCAGCTGCTTTTCACTGACTTTGCACTGGGGAAATGTTTTGATCCATGTTGATGTTAGGCCCAGGGGACACTGATGTAACACGTTGATTGTTTAATAGCATTTAGCAGTGGCAAAGGGATGCAAAGGAGATGCAGGTACGTGGAATTTAATTAACCAAACTGGAATTCAGCCAAAACTCAGATCAACAGTCCCAATCTTGCAAAAAGCACAAGGAGACTTGTGATAGTTGGTAAGTGAACTGAGCTTTCATTTTGGTGTCACCTTGACAATCTGCTTTTCTAGGGAATTTATTCAGTAAAGTTGTGAAGGATGATCTATATCACTTACTAAATTACTAGTAATTGCTAGAGATTATTTCTGGCAGCATTCTGCCCTGGTTTTATATCTTTCACATAAGCACCAAGCTCAATCTTAGCATTTGAGAACAGGCAAGAGTACATCTTGGAGTAGCAGAGCTGCAGACATAGCATGGTGCAGTTGCATGCCCACTAGAATTTTTAATGTGCTGGGTTGTTTTTTTTTTTCTTTTTTTTCCCCACTGTTGCTTGAGGAGGCTGTATAATAGGCTTGATAAGTTAATTAGAAATGGGATCTTGAATACAAAATAACCACTTTTTTTTTTTTTTGCATATTTATTACCCTGTTGTAAATGGGCAGAAATATTCAGCATTAACTAGTTTACTGAAAAGACTTGACTGATGATAGCAGGTTTTGTATGTATAAGGTATGATTTATAGAGCCAAATTCTAATCTGTTCTTTATACCAGCCTCAGGCAGTACAGTTATTCTGCAGTAAATTGAGGGATTTTGGTATGTCCTTGTAAGTGATCTTTCAATATGAATATGACATGTTCTATCAGAATTATTTCTTTGCTCTCTGAAAAAGGAAGAAAATTTAGATACCAAAACTAATAATCTTGACATGTTTCTGTTTCGTTTGTAAGACATCTTGGAATAATAGCTTTTTATCAAAAATCCACACACTGGAAGACTAATGTGGCTACCATGTAAAACTATCATTTAATGATATAAAATATTTAAATGCAGTTAGATCAGCACACAATTAGTTTCTAGTCCAACTGCTAGGTATAGTAGAAATCTTCCAAGCCTACTTCAAACTCCCAAGCACAATTTTTCAAGGAATATCTGAGTTGCTGTGCTTTATTTTCTTTCTGTGTCATCCAGCAAATGGGAATACGTGTGGGTTTTTGTATGTCAGTTTATGTGAGTCTGAGGGGAATCTGAGGTAGGTTTTCTGTGTGACTGTAACAAAGGTGTTAACTGTGCTTACTCTTGAACGAACTGTCCCCTGTATTCCCTTCCCTTCCTAATTCCTTTGCTGTCAGGAAAGACCTGTCATAAAGCAGCAGTTCCACAAAGTGCAGGCTCAGCATAGGTTAGGGACTGTAGCATAGTTGACAGAAAACTCTTTGTTGTGTTATATTAAGGCCAAGGTTCTACTGCTATAAATAATGCATGCTTTAATTGGAAACTGCAAATGGAAATGTCAGTCTCTAAAGGCTTGTTGATTTCAGTGTAATCTCTGGGGGCAGATTCTGCTTATGTGCTGAACATGCAACACATTCTCCAAATTTGTGGTTGCTTTGTTTCATTAGTACTACCTGTGCTAGTGAGCTTCTTCCTATAAATTAAAACAAATGTCATATCTAGGTAATAGGCTGGAAATTCCTATGACCATATATTGTAAAAGTTGCATAAAACACCATTACAAGACTGGGTACCCACTGATGTTAAAGAACTCAAGTTTCCATTTCCCTTGGTCAGTACTGATTGGATCGTGCACCATACCTGTTAAATTTCACTATTAGTAGGGGATGAGTTTAAAAGCAGATAATAAACATATTCATTTCTTGCCAGATTTTCCTGGGTTTAATCACACTGTGCCTGATGTTAGCCACAGGTTAAGGCCTGCATGTACAATTGCAGTGGCTAAGCTGATGCTTGGCTAATTCATGAATCAGGAACACTGAGCACAACTTTTTGTACCATTTTAATTAAATTGATTTAAAACCACACCTTAAGGCCTCTTCTAAACATAATATCCTACCGACTTCACTAAGTGTGTCCGACAGTTAACAAAGTGGTGTCTAAGTGTGTGAATACAAATCTGTGTGAAGGCTAGTAGTTTGCTTTGGGCTAGGTTGACTTTTGCATTAATTTGGATCCTTTCTGTTTGCATGCATTTATCAGTCTTGCTTTAATCTTGCTTAACAGCATCAAGATGAATTTTGCAAATTTTAGAAGTTTGTAGATGTGAAAATAGTAAATGAACCCCTTCCCCCCAGCTTGTGGAATTGTAGAAAAAAGGGAAACAGATTAGGGTGGCCAATATCATTTTTTTGCTGTCCACCCTGAGCACCCTAATGCCCTGTTGTTTATGGGCAAGCCTGAGCAACTCATACCTAGAACACATCTAAGGTGTAGAATTTAGGAATACAATAGGATTTAAATGTGTAGAACTCTTAAGTGATGTGGAATCCTTCCTGAAGTGCCTGAAAGCTGATTTCAGAAAATCCTGTAGGAACACCAGACTTAAAGCTTTAAGTGCCTAGAGTAAACCAGTATCCCAGCATGGGTATGTATTGAGTTACAGGTGAGCTGGGTGTCTCAGAGTTCAATCCAAAAGATGCTGACATTGAGTAGGGAGCCTTCAAGGTAAGAGACAAGGCTGAATGTAGGATTGAGTTTTACCCCTGATCTTCAGACTGAAGTACCTTCAGCTGGTCATGATTAACTCATGAACTCTTACCTCCTTGTTCAATGGCTGAAGTTTGCTTTGACAAAACACAACCAGGGAAAGTTCTGGCACCTCTACCTTAAGTTATCTGCTTGTGTGAAGCTATTGCATAGTGGTTCAGAAGACTTATTTGCACAATAGGTCAGTCTTTCATTTTCTGTGTTTCCCAAGAGAGTGCAGAGGGGTTAAAACCTTTTGGAAATGAGGTTTATGAAGTGCTCCTATGAAGATGCTGTTTATGCATGAGGAGACCAGACTTCTAATTTCTATTTCAGAGAATATGCAAATATTCTGTATTGAATGGAACAGGGTTTAGGTCACATCATTCCACATAGCATGTCCTGAGTGCTATGTTGTTGTATAGACATTCTCTTCTTTTTCTAATGGCTAAGAGTGACTGAATTAGTCTGTTTGCTTAGCAGTGGCTTCAGATGTTCTTCTGGCTTTATAGTCAGAGCACTTTCTTTAGGGATGGTGGGGATAACATAAGACAAAAGAGATTTTTTTCATTTTTCCCTCACTGAGATTTCAAAGCAAGTCAGGGACAGAAGTCAGGCAAGGAAATACAGTTCTGTCTCATGCATGAGTCTTTTCAAATATACCTGTCCTCTTTAGGACAGTAGTAGAAATAGAGAAGAAAAGTAACTTCCTTCCCTTCTCATAGAAGATTCTTCTTGAAAAGAAATTCAGGATAGCTAATAAAACTAAAAAGGTAGGAAGGAGAAGTCTGACTCAGATAGAACTGCTCAAATCTGATTTTTGTTGGAGAACCAATAGTTAATGCTATTATATGTAGCTAATTCTACATTCTGCAAAGCAGTGCATTGTATTAAGTACATTATTCTTTTCCGAATCATAAATATACAGGACTTAGTGCTGTACATGATGTACGCTCTTGTATTGCATTGCACCTAAATCAGTATTTTGAACTTCACATTCCTGTTCTCAAGGTAATTCTGCATGTAACAGGAAATCTAAAAGGCCAACAGAAATAAATTGGCTATAAACACAGCAGCAGTGTCGGCAGAAAATATCTTGAAAACATTTTATGGATTTCGTTTTTTCATTTACAGTGTACTTGTTATTTTCAAAATAAGCAGCTCCCTGTGGACTCTTAGATGCAGAAAAGATGTGCCAAGAGATGCGGTGTGAAGATGAACCAGCAGACCTAGGGAGGCAAAAGTTCCACACTGTAGACTGCTATTCAGCATTCTTTTGGGTCATTGCCTTGATAACTCCACACCCACTGAGTAATATGGTCATACAACAGTGACAGGCCACTATAGCCCCAGGAGAAGGAAGCTCTTTTTAAGTTCCTAACCAGGCATATGCAGAGGTATGCCCATAAGCTGTTGCTGTAAGTGCTGACTGCATCTAGTTGGTGTTAATTTATTCAGGTCTGAGTTGTACTGACTAATAGCTGTTAGCAGGAGCAGAGGAATTTTCCTCTTTATAGGTGGGGCTCAGAGCATTGTCAATTCAAGTCTTGCTGGAGAACAGAGTGTGCTGCTGTAATTATTAGTAATTCTTATCCCCAAGGAAAAGAATCTGTAGCACTCCTCTTGGGTCATGAGAAACATTTTGGCC